TCATGTATTATTTGTACAATGTTTTTAAAAAGCCAGAAGAACACAACTACCACAGCATCCACCAGACTGAGTCCAGCACAACTACATGGTGCCAGACAGAGCTGGAGAAAAATGTAGAACAAAATTAAAAAAAAAAAAAAGGGACCAGACTTACTGGTCTGACAGAGACTGGAGAAACCCCAAGAGTATGGCTCCCGGACACCCTTTTAACTCAGTAATGAAGTCACTCCTGAGGTTCACACTTCAGCCAAACATTAGACAGGCCCATAAAACAAAATGAGACTAACTGGGCACACCAGCCCAGGGACAAGTTCTAGAAGGCAAGAGCGGACAGGAAAGGTGGTAATGGCGAACCCAAGTTGAGAAGGGGAGAGTGTTGACGTTTTGTGGGGCTAGCATCCAATGTCACAAAACAATATGTGTATTGATTGTTTAATGAGAAACTGTTTGCTCTATAAATCTTCATCTAAAGTACAAAAAAATAAAAATCCTAAAAAAAAAAAAGCTAGAGGGAAAAATGACAGAATTCTGCACAGCAGATTATCCTTTCTATTCTCTCTTCTTATCTGCAATATTCCCCTTGTTCTTTGAAAAGAAGTATATTCCAGTTTAAGAATTCCTGAATGCCAGTGAGACTTCTACTACTCTGAAACTGGCTTGGACATACTGAGAACAAGCAGAGGCATACATTTCACACCGAAGGGATTAAAAGAATACACAAATTATCTCTTTAAACAAACCAAATTTTGGCAGAAGGCCAATGGACACATTCTGCAACATCTGGCTTTTTTCTCCCCACCTCTGTTCTTTTCTTTTAGAAGAGAAGGACATGCACATGGTTTACCAAACTTCTTTTTTTTTTTTAAATCGTACTTTAGATGAAGGTTTACAGAACCAATAGTTTCTCATTAAACAGTTAGTACACATATTGTTTTATGACAATGGTTAACCCCATGGCATGTCAACACTGTCCCTTCTCAACCTTGGGTTCCCTATTACCAGCTTTCCTGTCCCCTCCTGCCTTCTAGTCCTTGTCCCTGGACTGTTGTGCCCCATTAGTCTCATTTTGCCAAACTTCTCTTTTAACAGTTTTCTGGGAAGAAATGTTTATATCCACATAAAAAAAGTAAAATTCAACTAAAATTATTTTTGGCTCCTAAGAATCAATAATAATAATACCGAAGCGTTTTGCAAATATTGACCCCAAAATGTTTTTATTTTATGCAGAGAGTTATGTTACATGAAAAATACACCTAGAGTTACATACATATTGATAGTACTCTAATGAAATAGAATTGATATTGCTAGATCAGACTTTAAAGATTGTACAATACTGTTGGAAAATGATCTGTAAAGTAGAAATCTGTAAATAAAATAATTTTCTAATGACCTGAATCATAATTGCAGAGTTGGTTCCTTCATTAATAAAAGCAGTGGCCATAACTGCACTAAAGTAATAGAATTTTCAATGTTTGTTTTAGGAAATACTCTGATTTTATTAATGCATGATCTTTATTAAGTTCTTCCACACAATTCCTACATGAAAATTCAAATGGTTAAGTCCTGTGGTTTTTGCACTTGTATTGTAAAAAGCAGATATAGTAAGGTATAATTAATTTCCTGTTAATTGGAATATCCATCAGGCTTGAATGCTTAATTAAATACCTCACTAAGTATTTAAATTAAAATGTATCCATGAGCTAAATGAGACCCATCAAAATAACCTCTTCAGAGAGAGCACTAGTTGACAAAATACTCATTCATCAGAAACGCAGCAGAGATTAAATGAGAGGCATAAATTCACAAAAATAATCAGTAGGTACTCCTTTGATTTCTCCTTCGACTTCATGTATCCCTTATGATGTCATTAGATGACTATGGTGGGCCCTCGGCATCTGCCAGTTCCACATCCACGGATTCAACCAATCAGGGATCGAAAATATTGGGGGTGCGGGGGGTGAGGGGGAGAAAGTTCCAAAAAGCAAAACTTGAATTTGCTGGGAGCCAACCACTACGATGAATCCACACAAATGAAGTGATGTGTAGGCGTACCCTGATGTAGCCTCCCACCACCATTTCACAGATCCTCAGTCTCTCTCGAGCACTCACTGAACATTGTTCGCCTCCTGTCTGGTCATTATTCCCTAAACAATACAGTACTATTTAACATCTATTTATATAGCATTTACATTTTATTAGGTATTATAAGTAATCTATAGATGATTTAAAGTATTCGGGAGAATTGCATAGGTTATATGCAAATACTGAGCCGTTTTATATAAGGGACTTGAGCATTTTCGGATCTCGGTATCTGCGGGGGGGGGGGGGGGGTGGTCCCGGAACCAATCCCCCACGGATAGTGAGGACAACTTTTATTTGCATTAGTCAACCACAGACCAAGTCTCTTCACATTTGAGATTTAAGATCTCTAATTTTCATTTCATCAACAGCCATGTGGCTCTTTTGATTAGTAATTATTTTAAATACTTTTCTTGAGTCATAGAACCAAGAATACCACTGATTAGCCAACCATTTATAAATGCTAAATATCCTGTGCAGCATACTTGAGGCTGCCTCCTCAGTCAGTCAACTTCTACAATTTCTTTTCAGAAAAACTGAAATCAAACCATTGTTTCATTTGGTTTAATACTTAACATGCTAATGGAAAATGTTCTATGAGAATTGCTTTGTACAAACAATTTTGTTTTCTCTTTTAATATTAAATGCTTAGTGCTATAAACATAAGGAAAGCTATTCTTACCTTCTCATAAAGTAGCTGAGGTAAATTCTGTTGCTGCCTGTTCTGAAAACACTCATAAAGCTGAAGCAGCCTAGCACATAATACTTGCTCTTGATTGAAGAGAGGATGATGGCTGAATTGCAAACCCACAATGTTGAGATCTAACTGGCACGTTTCCCTTTGACCTTCCATTTTGTTCCTAAGAGAGCTTTCTAGGTCAGATTTTACTGCCTTTTAAAGAAAATACGTGTACAATGTTAAATTGATTCTATTTCTTTTGAAATTACAAATAACTTTCCCTTATAAAAGCAACATGGCCATTGTAGGAAAATTAACACTACACAAATACAACAGAGTTCTGTGAAAAAAGTTATCTGAACCAAGTTTTTTTCTAAAAGTCCAGGAAAACTAATTACATATAAAAATGAACAGTAAAACGATCGAGATCAAATCTCATACAAAGTTACTGTAAGAAAAAAAATGAATAGCAAAATAATATTTTGATAATCAAAGCATTCCAGAAAGACATCCAAAAACAGATCAAAGTAGAAATATAGTTTTCAAAACTAGCTAAAAGACATTAAGTATGTAAGACATGAAGGAACAAAAATCAGAATTAGAAAAACTCAGAAATGAGGTGACAGAATTGAACAAAAAGGATTAAAAATTTAAAAAAATATATTTTAGAAATTAAGACTAAATTGGAAGGAACACAACAAATAAATGCCATAAAAATTCCTTTTTAAGGTGAAAAGGGGGAAATTTTTAAATAAAAAAGAAATGAAACCTAAAGAAAGCAGAGGAAGGAAACAGAAATAAGAGCATAAATGAATGAATGAAAGAGAAACAAATGTACAATAAAAAACATAAACTAACCTCAAAGGTCACCTATCTGTATGTAAAAATGACTTAAGTGCATACATTGCTAGAACCCTTCTCAGAGCCTTGGAAGGGATCTGCGCAGGTTAGGGGCACTAAAACTTAAACTTCATTAGCTACACAGAAAAACTGCCTCTGACTGACGTAAAATGAGGGTTTTCTTTTAGGTGTGCTTAATCTGTAAGACACTGCATTGCAATTAATTACTTTTGTGTGTGCCCTTACTAGCCATGGTCTTGTAACTTCCAAGTTACAAGAACCAAGATCCACCACCCAAGGCTGATTCCTATGAGGTGGAGGTTAGACACGCCTCCTCTCTCCACCATCTATACCAATTTTGACACCAACCGTCCGTCTCACAGCACTCTCTACTGGGTTCAATAATTCATTGCAATGGCCACACAGAACTCACAGACAACTCACAATTGTGGAGTTTATTAGGGAAGTAACAGTTATATTTCAGGCTCAGGAACACTCAGGATACAGTTCTTCCATCAGGATAGCCTCTTTCCAGCTGTGCTCGCAGGCACACCTCTCCCTGGCCCTAGGCATCTCTCCCAGAGGCACTGAGCTTTCTCTCTCTGTTCATGAGCTGGGAAGCCCACTGCGCCATCTCCTGCTGCTGGGTCTCTGCTGCCAGGTCTCTCCTGCCACCACTTCTCACCATCTTCAGGGTTACAGCTTGCTCTCTCTCTCCTGCTTCCAGGAGCTTCTCAGTGCAGGGATCCTGGATCCAAAGGACACGCCTCCTGCTCCTGGCTGTTCTTCCTTGGTGGTGGTAGGATCCTCCTGTCTACTCTGGAACTGGCTCTCTTTTAAGGCAAAACTGACCAATCCCCTTGGTAAGCCAAAAACTACCCTATCACACAGTCCCACCCAATCCCTTTAGTGGGAGTTGCAAGACCATGGCTAGAAAGGTCACACACAAAAGTAATTAATTGCACCGCAGTGTCTTTCTTTAGGTTTCATTTGCCATTTAAAAAAATTTATTAAAATGAATATTAACATGACTAATTTTCAACTTTTTTCTTGTCTAATACACACACTTAAGGCCTATATGTTTTCCTCTAATCACTGCTTTAGCTGCATGCCACCAGTTTCAGTATGTGATATCTTCATTATCCTCCATTAAGTATTTTATAACTTTTTACTATTCTTTTTTGTTTTGCCTCATGAATTATTTAGAGTGTATTAAAAATTTCCAAACTGCTTAGTGTCTTCTAATTATCTCTTTATTATTTCTACCATGGTCAGAGGACATATTCTGAATGGCTTTAGTCCTTCAAAAATTTTGGGTCTTGTTTTATGGCCCAGCATATAGTCAATTTGGTAAATGTTTTACATACACTTGAAAAGAATGTGTATTCTGTCATTGTTGGGCACAGCATTCTAGATATGTTAATTCAGTTTGTTGTGTTACTCGTGTCTTCTGTAGCCTTACTAATTTTTTTGTTTATTCCATAAGCTTTATGTATTCTTGAAGCTATGTTACTATGTACATATAAATTTAGAATTGAGATGTGTCCCTTTATCGTTATGAAACGTCCTTTTTTTATCTCTATTAATTTTTTTTGCCTTAACATTTATTTTGTCTCATAGCGCTAAATCAGCTTTTTAAAATATTTGGTAAGTACTGTACATGTAGAAATGATTGAATGGGTGAATGTTTTGCTATTCTCAACAACAAAATAAAATTAAAAAAATAAATTTGGTCAGTGTTTGTATCATTTCATCTACTTTTAACCTTTCTCCTTTATTTAAGACAGGTCTCTTATTAGGTGAATATTGCAGGATTTTAAAAATTCACTCTGGTAATCTTGATCTTTTAATTATAACATTTGGTTCCTTTATAATTAATGTAAATACTGATATATTTGGACTTATACACCTCTTCATACTTTTTTTACTATTTTATTCACCTATTTTTTCTCTTCTTTCTTGCCTTTAATTAATTCAATATTTTATTATATTTTTTCTTCATTTAACTTGTTAATTATATATTCTTTGTTATTCTTTTACTAATTACAGCATACAATCTTGATTCATTAAAATCTAATATCACTTATTACTTTGATCTCTTCTCTGGCAATGCCAGGAACTTAGAACACTTTAACTCCATTTGTCCTCTTGCCTAATTTTATCATTACATATGTTAACATCACAAGAAATTAGCACTGTTTTATACATTCATGTTTTCATTTATATTTGTACATTTTTATGTCCCCATATATATGTATTGCTCTTTATTCCTTCCTAAATTTCCACATTTCTTCCTAGGATTGTTATTATTATTTTTATTTGAAGAACTCTTTTCAGTATTACTTATAGTGCACAATTGCTAGTGACAAATTCTCAGTTTAGGTTTGTCTAAACATATTTTCGTCACCTGCATCTTTGAAGGATATTTTTGCTAGGTCTAGAATTCTAGGTTAGCAGTTATATTTCTTCAGCACTTTACAGATGACTTTCCACTGCCTTCTGAATTTCATTGTTTTTATAGAAAAGTCAGCTTAAAGTCTTATTGTGGCTTTTCAGTTTTTCTCTGTCTTTGGTTTTAGCAATTCTATTATAATATGTCAAGGTGTAACTTTCTTTATATTTATTATTCACTGGGTTATTAGAGCTTCCTGAATCTACAGCTTAATGTCTTCCATCAGTTTTGGAGAATTCTCAGCCTTATAGAACGTTCCTTCTGCCCCATTCTCTCCTTTTGTTCTGGGACTTCAAATACTCATGTGTCCCTTGTGTCTCTTCTGATTGTATTTTGTTTCTTATCCCTTTTTCCCTCTGAGATTCAGTCTGTACACTGTTTCTTGACTTGTCTTCCAGTTCACTTATCCCATTTTCTGCTGTGTATAATCTCCTGTTAAATTCAGCCAATGAATTCTTTTTCTTAATTTCTTTTTGATTTAAAAATTTCCTCCTTCTCACCTTAAAAAGAGATTTTTATGTTATTTATTTTTTTTGTGTTCCTTCCAATTTAGTCTTAATTTCTAAAATTAAATGATTGGCCAGGACTGTGTGACAGGGTAATTGTGGTAATCCTAAAAGACAGCCAGTTCCAGAGTAGAGAGGAGGATCCTACCACCACCAAGGAAGAACAGTCAGGAGCAGGGGGTGCGTCCTTTGGATCCAGGATCCCTGCGCTGAGAAGCTCCTGGAAGCAGGAAAGAGAGAGAGAGCAAGCTTTAACCCTGAAGATGGTGAGAAGTGGTGGCAGGAGAGACCTGGCAGCAGAGACCCAGCAGCAGGAGATGGCGCAGTGGGCTTCCCAGCTCATGAACAGAGAGAGAAAGCTCAGTGCCTCTGGGAGAGATGCCTAGGGCCAGGGAGAGGCGTGCCTGCGAGCACAGCTGGAAAGAGGCTATCCTGATGGAAGAACTGTATCCTGAGTGCTCCCGAGCCTGAAATATGAACTGTTACTTCCCTAATAAACTCCACAATTGTGAGTGGTCTGTGAGTTCTGTGTGGCCATTGCAATGAATTATTGAACCCAGTAGAGAGTGTTGTGGGAAGGACGGTTAGTGTCAAAATTGGTAAAGATGATGGAGAAAGTAGGCGTGTCTAACCTCCACCTCATAGGAATCAGCCTTGGGCTGTTGATCTTGGTTCTTCTTGTGGAGGTAGAGGAGGTCAGACACTGACCACACGCTGTTTTTACAGACACTCAGGTTGTACTTTCCACAAGCAATTCTATACATGCAACTGAGATCAGGACAAAGACCTAGGAGAGATACATATTTGGGAGTCACCAGAAGCACATGGTAGCTGTAGCAATGGAAGCTGTGACTAACAGGTAAAAAGTGTGAAGAAAAAGACAATAAAAAGACCAGGGACCTAGTTATACAATGACTTTAAAGTTTCAAGTTTCTTCACTTTTTTTTCCTTTGGTGGTAGAATTCTGTTCATCAAATGATCAGAAGTTCTGATAGACCACTGTATATGTCTTTATGAAAGTGGGAAAATTAATGAGAGCTTAAATGCATTTTATATGGAAAAATAATAAAAGGTTTTCTTTGTGGCAAACAGTTTTGGTATATTTTTAGAAGATCCTGGGAGACATTTATAGGCAGTATAATGATATCAACAGGGAACTGCAAGAAATTCAAGCCAGATTCAGAAGAGGACGTTGGAAGCAGGGATCATCATTGCTGATATCAGATGGATCTTGGCTGAAAGCAGAGAATACCAGAAAGCTGTTTACCTGTGTTTTCTTGACTATGCAAAGGCATTTGACTGGGTGAATCATAACAAATTATGGAAAAGATTGTGAAGAATGAGAATTCCAGAACAATTGTGCTCATGAAGAACCTGTACATAGACCAAGAGGCAGTCGTCCGAACAGAACAAAGGGATACTGCAAAAGACTTCTTTAAAGTGAAAAAGCAAAGATGTCACTTCGAGGACTAAAGTGCGCCTGACCCAAGCCATGGTATTTTTAATCACCTCATATGCATGCGAAAGCTGGATAATGAATAAGGAAGACCGAAGAAGAATTGATGCCTTTGAATTACGGCGTTGGTGAAGAATACTGAATATACCATGGACTGCCAGAAGAATGAACAAGTCTGTTTTCGAAGAAGTACATTCAGAACGCTCCTTAGAAGCAAGGATGGCGAGACTTCATCTTACATACTTTGGACATGTTATCAGGAGGGACCAGTCCCTGGAGAAGGACATCATCTTGGTAAAGTAGAGGGTCAGCGAAAGAGAGGAAGACCTTCATCGAGATGGATTTACACAGTGGCTGCAACAATGGGCTCAAGCATAGCGATGATTGTGAAGATGGCGCAGGACCAGGTAGCGTTTGGTTCGGTTGTACATAAGGGTCGTTATGAGTTGGAACTGACTTGACGGCACCTAACAACAACATAAAAATATGAAAAACATATTTTGACATAGGAAAAAGAATTAATCTCCTAGATTCTCTAGGAAAGAAACAGAAATTGTAAGGAAGAAAAAGACATCATATATCCTATAGAAAAAGATCCTCACATGTTAAAGAAATACAAAGAAACCTCCCAAAACTATAAATCTGTTTGGTGTAGGGAGAGACCTCATTTCTTCTGTAGGGTAGAAGATTCAGGGTCATAAAGACCTAAGTGCCCTTGCTGTTAAAATGTTTCAGCTACCAGAATATGCAAGAAACAGAGCGTCAATTATTAAAAAAAGCACTAATTAAAGAAGGCATGTAATTACTAAAACAGCAGAAGTAAATCACAAATTTAAAGCAGTAAAGGGAGTAAAGAATAAAGTCCTACAGGTATTTTGGTACTATGTCCACTTTTAACCTAGTTATAGCCATATTTACTATATATGGAATGGTTAAGGCAAGTGAAGAGGCAATTAAGTTTTGGCACATAGTTCTGATTTAAAAATTTTTCAAGCCGATGTCTTGTTTTGTTTTTTATAACTATCTTTGCCTAAATAGTTCATTAGGTTAACAAACAACTACTTTGATAGAGATATAATGTATATTCATTTTTGAAAATTAGAAAATACAGAAAAGTATAAAGAAGAAAATTACAATTATCCTATGTTCCACTATCCGGGGATAATTATCAACTTTGATATACTTTCCAGTCTTTTTATCTATACACACGTATACAATGTATGTGTTCATTTATTCATTCACATATATTTTTATAAACTTGATATCATAATTATGCATAATTGTGCATTCTGCCTTTTTCATTTCACATTTTATTTTGAGCCTTTCCCCATATTGTTAAGTATTCCTCAAAAACAATTTTTAATGGCTATTACTGCCCCCTGGGGTTTCCAAGGAGTGGCTGGTGGATTCAAACTGCCAACGTTTTGGTTAGCAGCTGAGCTCTTAACCACTGTACCGCCAGGGCTCCATTTAATATTTCATTATAGTTTAGCCATTATATTATTAGACTTGATAATATCTTTAAAGGGTGAATTAAAACACCACAAACATATTAATGTTACAAGAATTCGGACCATAATTACAAATAAACTGATGTTGGTTACCTTCCTGTATATGGTCTTTAGTGCTGGATTTAAGGATTCCTTTCTTATGTTCAGTCTGAAATTCCATGACCTTCTAATTGGTGAAGGTAATGACATTATTTCTCCACTTTCTTCAAACCAACACTTTCCCTATTAAAAATATTTAAGAAATGTAGTAATTAAATGTCTCACCATAAACAAATGTCACATACTAACCGCCAGTGGTTTAACTTTGTGAATATTCTTGTTATCTGATGCACTTGCCTCTTCTAGTTTAAGCAGGCGATTTTCCATTTTGTTGCAGGTCTTTTTATATATTTCTGGTTTTCTCTGAATATATAATCCTTCATCTTCTAAAATTCGTGGCATCATGTCTTTTGGCAGTTTACACTGGTTGACCACTTAATAACAAAATCTAGATATTACTTTAAAATCCAAAATATTGAATGGGCATAGACCAAACAAGAAGCAAAAATGAACTATCATATACCTACCACTAAAGTCTAGCAGAAAGTCTAAATATATATACAATGAATGAATTCTCTTACTTAATTCCCTTAACTCAGAGAAGGCATGAAGAACAAATATAGAAAACTTTCTATAATTTTAGAGCAGTAATTTTTATCTATCCAGCATACAAATAAGCTATTATTCTATAGTATGATTCATTAATGACTTGAATACTTTACTTGAAAAGAACATTACCTGGAGAACTACTTGGCACAAAAATGTTTGCCTGTTTTTTTATTTGTTCTTGATCATCTTCATATTCAGCAGCTTTTACTTCAAGTAAATCTGGATAAATGACTTCTTCCATAAAATTTTCATCTTGGCTCTCAGCAAAATTTTGCAAATTATTACCAGGTGAAATGTGTTTTGCGTAATTATCATTTATTGATCTCTGTTAAATGTCAATCAGGAAAATAAGTCCATATGCTTGTCTCCAATGATTAACATACAGATAAATGACATATACCTTACTGTTAAGTCTTTCTGATCCACGCCACCCAGATGAAGTTCTAGCTGAAACTGTGTTAGAAATGAATTTCACTAACCATAGAGGAAGTCATTTAAGGTTTAGTATTATATAACATGATTTTGCTATAGCCCTCCTTTGCAATTCTCCAGTGAAAGACTGCTGAAATAAAACTATAATTAAAGCCCTTCCTCCCCTATGAAAAATGTTTTGAGATACTGGACTACTACATTTCAATTACTGAAAATTCACGGTGTAATGGTAGAGTCCAGAGAGATCAGGCTGTGTAGTCTTAAACCCAATGTTTTTTAACCATTCAGAACACATTACTACCTAAAGTGATCTGGAGTAGTCATGCTGTTTTCTGGAAAGTATTACAAAAAAGAAAGAAAAGTAAGAAGTAAGCATAGAAGTCTATGGCAGAGTGATTACAGTGAAATTCTGAAGTCTGATACATATGAGTTACCAACGATCTGAATATAGGTATGGAAACATACACTATTAAACACAAAAATCTGTATTTTATATCATGATCAGAAAATTTTACATGAGTCTGTTCATAAAAATAAAATCACTAATTTATTTTGGATGACTTTACCTATCTAATTTGAAATCTACATATATTAAAAGAAAGAGAATGTAAGAGTCATGTAAATAAAACTCCTTTAATTCTGAAAAACATGCATTTAGGGGTGAATAATAAGATAAAAATAATTAACCACAGAATTCTGTTGAATGGAGAACTTGACATGGCCTTGGTCAACTGACAAAATAACTAATGTAGTTTAAGCACCACCAAGGTTTATGCCAAGTCATCATACCATCATACCCTCCCTTCTATATCCCTGTTATAAAACAAAGAAAATATTTTCTGCTCAGAAATCTTTGTGGCATCTTTTTCAGAATTTAAGCAAGGTATGACACTGACAGTTAAGAGTAAGATTTGGGAGATCTTCATATAGAGGATCCCTCTGAAGATTTTAATCATAAACAAAAAGGAGCTCTTTGCTGCAGCTGCAGCTCCCATGGCCAAGCTTCCTTTGACAGCACCCTGGTGTGGGCCAGGGCTTTCAACCTGCTTCCAGAGCTAAGTTCTGCCCTGATGGCTGAGTGCCCAGTTCTCATCTTGGACCCCAGCTCCTTACTTAAGACACGCTAGATCTCTTTTATGAGCCCTATCCAATTTGCCTATATTTTTAGCCTGAGACAAGCTGTGACCTTGACCAATATAAGCACCACCTGTCCAAGTACTCCTTACTTAGTCTAAATCCAGCTAGTATCCCAGATGGCCTTCTTGGTCTTCACTGTGCAACTCAGGGCAGAGCAGCATCTGTGCTGGCAGCTGTTGTGTAACAGGGAGTTATGAGGTCAGAAGGCAACCATCTAACTTTCCAGGCATAAACCTAGACCTGAGTACAGTGTGCTAAAAAGAGTTATTTCCCTCATGTCACAGAAAGGTGCCTTGTTAACTGTGGTGTGGCAAGCAGAACTGTCTGAAAGTGACCTTTGACTTCACCCTGGGTTTCCCAGATGCGACATTTGCAACCAGGATTCCCCTTTCTTCCAGCACAAAGGAGCTACCCTCAAACTCAGCTTCCCACAAGACCAGCGGCTTTCTCCTCCCTATGATGAAGACTGTAGTTTTCTATGGGCCTCCAGGTCAACAGCTGTGGAACAAACAGCTTTCCCAAACAACTCCTCTAAACAGCTGGCATCTAAACCCAGACTTTCTCATGCCCAAGTAGTCCATTTGCCTTCCCTAACCCTCACTGACCCAACTGCTCTCATGCTTTCCCTGTGAGAAGGAAGAGCAGCCACAACCACAGTGCCTGGCCCTGGCATACTCTGCTAGGTGGGAAGATCAGAGACAGAGCCCTCCCTTGTTTTCCCAGAAAAATCTATTCCTTAACCCATACCATGGAACACTGGAGGTTGGGTGACATGGCGGTTAACAGCACAATCATTCAACATTCGTTCAAATACTTACTGAGTGTCTAATATGCTCCAAGAAGAAGATAAACAAATAGACATACAAATATACATTAAGTGGTAATAAGTGTTACAAAGAAAAATAAAGCATGGTAAGGAGATAGAGATGCTGGGCTGGGTAGGGTGAAGGGTACTATTTTAGACAGGGTGGCCAGGTACGGTATCTTTAGTGATATGTCATTTGAAAAGAGACCCCAAAGGTAGTGAGAGAGAGAGCATGAGTATAGGGAAAGAGTCGTCTAGGCAGAGAAATAGGTGTAAAGTCCTTGAGGCAGAAGCATGCTGTAAGTGAGGAACAGAAAGGAGGCCAATGTAGCTGGAGCTGGGTAAGAAAGGGAGAAAGAAATGAAATGAAGTCAGAGAGGTAACAAGGGGACCAGGTCACAGACGTCTTGGAGGCCTGTAAGGACTTTAGCTTTTTGTTGTTGTTGTTGAAAATATACACAGCAAAACATATACCATTTCAACAGTTTCCACATGTACAATTCAGTGACATTGATTACATTCTTCCAGTTGTGCAACCATTCTCACCCTCCTTTTCTGAGCTGTTCCTCCTCCGTTAATATAAACCCATTGCCCTCCAAGGTTTCTAGCTAATCTTTTAAGTTGCTGTTGTCAATTTGATCCCACATAGATAGTTCTTTAAAAAACAATGCTCAAGGCAGACATTTTACAAGTTATGCTAAACTACAGTTTGGTTTTAAGAATTCAGAGAATATTTCTGATTTAAGGTTTAAAGATTATCTCAGGGTAATATTTTCAGGGGTTTATCTAGCCTCCATGGCTCCCCAAAGTCTGGAATCCAGAAGAATTTAAAATTCTGTTCTGCATTTTCCATCTTTTGATCAGGATTCTTCTACAGAATCTTTGATCAAAATGTTCAATAATGGTAGTCAGGCACCATCCAGTTCTTCTGGTCTCATGACAAAGGAGGCAGTTGTTCATGGAGGCAATTATTTTGAGTGAGATAGGAAACCACTAGAATTAAGCAAAAGAATGATCTGTCGTAGACTTTAACAAGATCATCGTTACTACTGTGTGGTGTGGAAAACTGACAATTGGGGAACAACAGTGGATACAGAGGGAGGCTATGGGAAAGGTCCAGATGAGAAGTTATGGAAGCTTAGACTACAATGATACCAGTAAAGGTGGTAAAAAGTGGGTCAGATTCTGGGATGCTTTGAAGACAGCCAGCAGAATTTGTGACGAATTGGCTATGAGGCATTAGAGAAAAAGAGGAGTCAAAGATGACAATAAGGTTTGGCTGAGCAATTGGAAAAATGGAATTTCCACTTATCACTATAATTCTGTTTATGAAATGGTGTGTGTGTGTGTGTGTGTACACGTGTAAGCATAGAGAAAGGTATGAAAGAATGATAATGGAGTTATCTTAGGGCATTGGAATTTCAGGTGATTTCTTCCTCATAGTTTTTTGTATTACAGTTTTATAATATGCATATTTTATTTATTTAAAATTTAAAAACATAAAGTTCCTTTTATTGCAGAAAAAACAACAGCGTCAAAAAGGGAATGAAAGGACTGGGGCAGAAATGCAAAGAAAGAGGAAGAAGGTTTCAGAAGGTATTAAGTGGAGCTACTGGGAATAGGAAGCCCTAGTGGCACAGTGGTTAAGTGCTCGGCTGCTAACCAAAAGGTTGACAGTTCGAATCCACCAGCCACTCCTTGGAAACCCTGTGGGGCAGTTCTGCTCTGTGCTATAGGGTCACTATGAGTCAGAATTGACTAGAAGGCAACAGGTTTGGTTTGGTTTACTGGGAATAGGAGGAACCGGGGAGCATGGAAGGTCAGGGAAACTGTGGAGAGATTTGAAGGTGCAGAGGAGTTGGTGAAAGTATAGAGGAACAGGAATAGACGGGGAGACTACTGAGACTGACAAGTCAGGAGGAGACGAGGAAAGACTAGTGAGACTGAGCAGTACTGGAGGAAAGGGCAACCTGGAAGTAACGGGGCGGGGGGATGTGGAGGCTTAAGAGTCTGAGAGGGACTGGGAAGAACTGACAGAAATTGGAAGGTTTGGGATTGGACTAGGAGGGATAAAGAATGGGGAATCTATGCGGAGCAATAGAGATCATAGAAAACAATGTGGAGCACTTGCAGAGAAGGACAGGAACACCAAAAGAAAAAGAAAACACAGGCTTTGTTGCAGACAGCCTCTGTTCAATTCCCTGCTTCATCAACGCTTAACTCTCTATGCTTCAGTTTCCTCACCTATAAAATAGAGATAATAATAATACCTGTGTCATGGGGTTATTATGAGGATTGAATGACACAATCCACATTAAAAACTTGGTACGTCGGTGGGCATCCATAAGCACTTAATAAGTGATAGGTATTATTATTATTATTATTATTATTATTCATAAACAGCATCTCAAATTCAAAGAGAAGAGAAAGGACCAATACTAAAATCTTCATTTCCCATCCAAGTATTTCATTCTTTGCCTTTAAATGGTTATTTTTCCTAAGGGTGAGGATGTGAGGAGAAGGAGAACAAATCCAACCTGCTCTAAAGACTGGTCCAAAGCTCGGCCATCTGAGCTGCCTTCATCATTTAAAATGAAAAACGAAAGACCTTCATCCAATGAGACTTCGGTCTGTCAATTAAACAGTGGTAAACCAGTATTATACTTTTTCTGCTTATAAATTAAAGAAATACCTTTCCATAATAAGGTAAATAGTAACTCTGTTATCTATATTAATGAATAAAGAGCAGCAGGACAGACGGTATCAAGTTACGTTTAACTTTGAGTCTGTTTGGTTCATAAATTGTTTGTTGTTGTCATTTGCTTGTTCGAATGTCCTGGCAACTGCAATAAAAACCAGAAAAAAGTAGAACCAAAATCTTCTCCATCTGCCCAAACTTGCTCCTTACTCTAGTCTGAGTATTAAGAGCATTACCTCTCAGTTTGGCTAAAATGTAGACTCAGGTCTAACTCTTTTTTTCTCTCCCTGTTTTTTGGTGCTCTCACATACACACAGCTGTGCACGCACACACACACACACACACACACAAGTACCACATCACTCTGCCCCATAATTTTTTGTGGAGTTAAGAGGTAATTTAGAGTCTTAAAAGTGGCATATTCTTAGTTATAAACCTGCTGATAAATAAGTTCTCATTTATTAATATGTAAAGTTTGAATCTTTGGAATGTAAATCACTTTATCACTTCTTTTTTACACACATATTAAAGTAAACTGTTTTAAAGGAGGTGTGGGAGAGGAATCCATTCTATAACAAAAAGTAAAACTCAAAGTTACTAGGAGTCAAAAATACATGACTAGGAGTCAAAAAATTTAAAAAATTTATCTTATATTCTGTTTGTATCTATAATTTAGCTAACATATTAACTTTAGAAGTTATTTACCTCAGACCACTGATGTATCCTAGTATCAATGAGCAGCTGAGTTGAAGACTTTTCACCTTGATTAATCTGAATACAACATAATTAAATGGTATGGAAGGTTTAATCTTCACAGAAATAGCAAAATTGTGCTCATAAGTCTTTTCTCCAAAATGTGTAAAAATCAAGACTTCTAAACATTTTTATTTTAAGAAGTACATATATATAAATATATACTTTTCAGATGACATATGTAATTACTATGACCTAGTCATTTAACTTTTCTTAGCTTTAGATTTGGATCATAGGAGAGTTATGAGACGAAAGGAGAAAGAAAAAAAAAAACATGGGAAAGAACTTGAAGCTTTTTAGAATTAAGGGGCTATAGCAAGACTGAATCTTGGCTCTTTTCTTTTTTTAAAAAAGAAACATTTATTATGCTACATATCTTACTTAAACAGTAAAATTGAAAACAAGAAAGAAAAAAGAAAGCATTACCTTAACATTTTTTAGCTTTTCTCTTACTTTGCCTCTCAATGTTTCTATTATGTTCTGATTTTCTTCTGTAGCTAAATCTATTAGGAAGTCAACATAATACAGAGTCTACAACACTTTCTTATAATTAAACAGCAATAGCAGCAAACAGGCTTATTAAATATGTAAATTACATGTATATCTAAGCATTGTGACAATTACCAAGTTTGTGTCATTGCCTCATGAAAGTTTATAACCTAAAACCAATGGATGCCCCTTCTCCCCTTCTCCATCTGTAGTAAATACTTTAATGCTTGGTCAGGCTTGAATTTTGTTTCTTGTAACTTTCCCCCTACCCTCTGTCACTCTCTTCTGCCGCTTTCTCAGCTATTGGCCAGAGCCCTCCTTTGCAGTCAGCTAAAAACAAAAAGATCATATAAGCCAATTTTTATCTTTTTCCTTTTAGGAAAAAAATTCACAAGAACAGTCATATATAGACTGCTCTGTGGAATATACAAATATTAAATACAGGTTACTTTAACTTTGATTAAACTGGAGACAGAAGTTATCTGAAAGGAAGACATATAAGTCTCTAGGTACACATTTTAATTACTTACGTCGATTCTGTAAAATCAGTATAATATTGTCCACCCCTATTCTTGCCAGCTCTTAGGGCAAGTGAAATAGTCTTGAAGGGTAGGAAGAAGGCTCTGGCTGTTGTGTACACTCCAAGCCATGAGGTACAGTAGTAAATGGAAGACCTATAGGTCATTTTGTTTAGTGGTTAAGCACTTGGCTGCTAACTAGAAGGTTGGTGGTTCAAACTCACCAGCTGTTCTGTGGGAGAAAAATGTGGCAGTCTGCTTCCATAAAGATTTGCAGCCTTGGAAACCTTAAGGGGCAGTTCTACTCTGTCCTATACAGCTGCTATGAGTTGGAATAGACTTGACAGCAACGTGTTTGCTTTTTTTGGTTGAGTACTTAAAGGTTGCATTGGGGATGATGAAAATAAAAAGCAAGCCTAAAGCTAACTCACTATAGATCATGAGAGTCTTTGTTCTTAAGTATTCCTGGGTAAAATTTAAAATTACTAACTGGTTTGTTTGTTACTCTATTCCCAGAACTTAGAATGGCATGTGACACATAGTACACACTCAGAAAATATTCACTGGATGAATCAACCAGGGTTCAACAGTTATTTATGTATTTTTATCTCTGAGATTTGGAGTGTCCCAGAGCAGGTTCTGTATCTTTATTATCTTTATGGTCTAACAGTCTTAAGCACTAGTGGATTCTCCATATGTGCAGAGAGAGACAGAATGGAACTTAGCTTTACTGCATGCATTGATTTTACTATATATTTCCCTCTGCTCATCTTATATTATTTAAGAAGTTTAGTTTCTATTCCAACTCATCTCTTAAGAAACCTCTATTCCCAGCTGAAATTCTGGCATAGGATTAGTCATTTACAACTTCTAAATAAAAACCAAGAATATTAGAGTTGTGGTTATTGACAACCTTTTTGTAGATGCTCATCTATAATTTCTTCTACTGCAATGTTATCTGTCTCTTCTGACATCTGCAAAAAAAAAAAAGGGGGGGGGGAGCTAGTTTGTAACTCTTTGTTGCGGCATTAAAATCTTCATATGCTTTCTAGCCCTTTGAATATTATCTTCTTTAAAATGCCAATTCATATCCTTTGCCCATTTGCTTAAATTTCATCTTTTTATCAATTTGTAAGAGCTCTTTATACACAGTGGATTTTTTTTAAATTAAGAAACTGCTCTCTTTAATGTAAAAAGGACTTTTAATGATAAAATTCAATGGTTAGTTCTTAGTTCTCATATATTGCCTACTTCATATATCTTTTAGGAAGGTCAAATGATATCAGACATATGCAAATACTTTGAAAATTCAGTTCTATACCAGCGTTAGCTATTATTCAACTGATGACTCTTTAGTATCTGACAATGTTGGGCACCTTGCTTTCTTAAAACTTGCTATGCCCTTGCCCTCTTTTACCTCTCTGGCCACTTATTTCCTGTATCCTTTAATGTTCACACTTCTTCCCCTAGCCCAAATCTGGGTACATTTCAAGGTTTTGGAAAACACATATACTCCCATGGCTTCCCAAATGTGCGTCTCCAGCCTTGAGCACTCTCCTGAGCATCAGAACTGTATTTCCAGCCGCCTGCCAATATTTTTAATTGGGTGTCCTATCATCATCAGAACGTCAGTATGATGGAGCATTTAGTTATTTTATAGTTTTTTTTTAAACCACAATATATCTAAAAATAAACTATTGTAGCAATGTTAAATCCTTTCTTAGAGCAATATGCAGTATGAGTTTGTTTTTCATTTTAAGTTTAAGCGGTAGAATAGCAAAAGCCTCCTGAAATAGTAACTGTATATGCTGACTAAATCTAAGTGCAGTTGGAATAGAAAGAGCAAGCACACACACACTGGATTTCCAATCATAGCAAAAATATGAACTTGCGTCAAAAACCAAAGGAGAGTATTGCCATGATCATAGTAAAAGTAGTATTATAATAAAAGTCCTCTCTACAGACTTTCTGAAAGAACTTCAAAAATCCACCAGTGGTTCCTGTACTACACTTAAGAACTTAAGAACTACTGATTAAAGTCAGCATGGATTAAGATGTTCCCTTACTTCTTATTCAATCTTTAGTATCTTTTTCAACATAATTAGAAATACCTAAGTCTACTCTCTTCCAAGCAATAGCAACCTTTGAAGGTGTAATGGAACATCAACCCTGGCAAATAATTGATAGAGGTCTGCCTTTAATTCCCAATAATCTCACCCACCATTCTCAAGATTCTTGTCACTTTTCCCTAACTTTCCATCTCCAACAAGAAGGCAGAGATAAAATGGAAATCTTAAAGTTACCCTAAGAGATGTGTGGATATTGGTCCTATATATGTTTCATTCATGACCAAAAAAAAAATTTTTTTTAAAGCAAAGCAGGAATGGATTGCTGGCTAGCTCAGAGAATAAACAAATAAATGGATATTTAAGTAAGAGAATAAATAAATAATAAACAAAGAAATAAATAATTTACCTCTAATGCTCTTTATTCCGTGACTGACAGACCAAACAGAAGTACTATTTATCCCTAAGCTGCCCTATTGTTTATTTCATTTAACGGATGATGTTTATTTCATTTAACAGATGAGTTGTATGATTTTTATATACAAGCAAATATATCTAATTTATCAGGATTGGCCTACATTTATAATTGGAATATTTAGTTTAATCTAAACCTTTATAAACTCCATTAGTATCTAACCTTTTTTTTAATATCTTCTCTTCTCTTTGAGATCTTTCTCATGATGGCTCTTTCTTTTGTCTCCACTTTCTGAATAAGTAAGAAAATATTCTTAAGAATAATACATCATGTTACTAAAAAAAAAAAAAAACTAATTATTGAGATGCTTGACATAAAAAGCATATTATCCAAAAAATTTAACTTAACTAGGAACAAAACAAAGAAACACACTATCACTTCTGGTATTAAATATTGTTCTAGAAATTCTGGTTAATGCAATAAGACATGCAATAGAAGTAAGAAGTGTAACTACTGAAAAGGAGAAGACACAGTTATCATTGTTTATAGGTAATAGGTTTTTATAAATTAAAAACCCAAGAGGATCAATCAAAAAAGTTTAGACATAATCAGAAAATTCAGTGAAATGGTAGAATACAAGAGAACGTATGTAAAAATCAATAGCTTCTTTACAGGCTATGATAGAAAAAGATCATTTTCACAACAGCAATACAAAAAAAAAATTCAAAATACCTAGGAATAACTTTTATTAAAATATGTGGAAATTCCTCCCAAACTATAAAACATTACAGTGAGCAAAATAAAAGAAAAGATACATATCTGATTAAATAAAGAGACATTCCGTGGAGGCAGGGAGATTGGTTAAGAGGCCTTTATAATAGTCTTGATGGGACATTCAGGTGGAGAGGTCCAGAAGGTGGTTGAAAATACTGAATAGGCTTGGACAAGAAGAGAATCAGGTCTAAGTTAGCTAAATTATTTTATTGTATAAAGGGCATCTAAGAGATTGACTTGATGATTCCTTAAAAGATTATCAACAATTTTAAGGTTCTTCCTACCATCATGCCAAGATTAGACACAATTAAGAATAGGATGACAAGAAAAGGGAATTTTGAATTTACTTCCTATTCTTCAAAAATTTCTAAAACAAATTTCAAATCAATACCTGGCTTATTGATGCCTATGCCTGCAAAATTTGTCTGCTAAACTAGTGAAACCAAAAAAACCCAAACCTATGGCCATCAGGTTGATTCCTACTCATGTCGACCCCATGGGTTGCAGAGTAGAACTGAGCTCCATAGGGTTATCTTGACTGTAATATTTAACGTGCTACTGGGTGGGTTTGAACCACCAACTTTTCCATTTGTGGTCCAGAGCAAACTGTGCCACCTACGGATCTTACTGAGTCTGACAGCTTCCAAGCACCATCAACAACTCCCAACTTGAAGGTAGAGTAGCATGAGTCACCTGCCCTTCTAACTGGTTTCTCCAGATGTTTTTCAGGCAATTGGCCAATTTCCTGCCCAAGATAAGAAAAATAAGAGGCTGGGGCGCTGACCACAAAAACAGTTAAGACCAAATCCGGCTGCCTGACATGCACAGAACTATCAATCCCATCCTCTGGGTAGCCCCGGAACTTTTCTCCCGCCAGATGGAACAAAACTTCAGGGGCCTGACACTGGGGGAAGACTTTCAGAAGCAAATGGTCTGAGCCTAAGATCTGGTTTGAGGGACTGACAGCTACCCCCACCCCTTTTTGGACTGAGCAAGTACAGACAAGGGAACCGCCCAGGGAACGCCTTTTCGGGCCAGACCAATCAAGGACCTTGCTCCCTCCCACCCAAATCTTTCCTCAGTTCTTGTCCCTAATAAAAACTGTTTCAGCCATTGTTCAGAGAGCCATCTTGGTGACGCAAGTCCCAGTTGCTCCTTTGCTCAGCAAACCAAATAAAGCTGCTTCTTTGGCTTTCACCTGTTTCGTGTCTCTTACAGCCGCACCGAGCGAGGACCTGAGACTCTGGTATCATGACTGTTAATACTTACAGGGAAAACATTAACAGTGGCACATCCTATAGATAATAAAATTATAATAAATTATCAAGTTACCAAATAAAATCTTATTTTAGAAGAAGTGATTAATCATATTATTTTTGCAGACCCAGAGATTTTTTCTAACCCGTTCATTTATCATTCCATAAATGATGCAAGATAAACGAACAGTTATAGACAAAATATTCGGTAAAAAATTTAAAAAGATCTAGATGAAAATTACATTCGCTCTTTTGAAATCTCATGGAGTATTAAGGAAAAATTATGACAGCATTTTTTTACTTCTTACAGCAATTCAGCTTTCTGTGTTTGTCAGAAAACTGACTCTAATAGTTAAACACAATTGTCTCTCTGTGGATATTACTAATTCACAATCCCTGCAGTTAAAGTTTTTTCTAAAGGTTAACGAAATTGAGGATTAACTATTTTTGTATCAAATGACCTTGACTTGACATTCATAGCCGAAGTCTGAGAAATAAGGTTAAGCAGTTTATTCAGTCTTTTTTTTTTAATCTGTAGCAAACAGAAGGCAACTTTATGTGTGTAAGAGTTTGCCTCTTGCTTAGCATTTAGAAATCTCTGGGTTCTGAATATTCTTCCAGCAGGCCCTCTGAAACTGCAGAGACTCCTGAAACAAAATTTCCTAAGGCCTATTTTCAAAACCCTGGTTGCGTAGTGGTTAAGTGCTATGGCTGCAAACCAAAGGGTCGGCAGTTTGAATCCACCAGGCAATCCTTGGAAACTAAGTCCTATTTTAAGTCATGTGCAAATATAACACCCACATAGGAATGTATAACTTGGACTTTTGGAAATTTCAAAAAACATGGTTACCCAGCAGATCTGTTCCTGGAGAGGCTTAGTATGAGCAAGTGTGCAAAAAAGTCCAATTTGTAGTTTTCTAAGCATTTGCCTTTTAATGATGTCTCCATGAGAACAAATGTAATAATATACAAAAAAATTTACTTTCTTATCAGCAGGGATGTCAGCATCATTGTTTCCTTAATTCGTATTTGCAATTGTTGTGAGCTATAGATTCCAACTCATAGTGACCCTATATGACAGAGTAGAACTGTCCCATAGGGTTTCCTAGGCTGTAATTTTTTTTTAAATAATATTTTACTGTGTTTTAGATGCAAATTTACACAGCAAATTAAGTTCCCCTTTAACAATTTTTATACAAATTGTTCCGTGCCATTGGTTACAATTTTTACAATGTGTCAGCATTATCATCATTTCCATTCTGTTTCTTCTGTTGCCACTGATCTGGCTTCCCTTCCCCTCCTCGCCTTCTTATCTTTGCTTTTGGGTGAATGTTGACCGTTTGGTCTCATATAGTTAATTACTCATGGGTGATATTGTTTATTTTATAAGCCAATCTACTATTCGGCTGAAAGGTGACTGGCAGAAATAGCTTCAATTCCAAGTTCAAAGGGTATCTTAAGGCAATAGTCTTGGGGGTTCCTCTAGTCTCTATCGGTCCAGTAGGTCTGGCCTTTTTTAGGAATTTGAGTTTTGCTCTACATTTTTCTCCCATTCTATCCAGGACCTTCTATCATGTCCCTGGTCAGAATGGTCAGTAGCAGTAGCTGGGCGCCATCTAGTTCTTTTGGTTTCAGGTTAGAAGAGGTTGTGGTTCATGTGGGCTATTAGTCCCGTGGATTAATTTATTCTTTGAGCCTTTGATTTCCTTCATTCTCTTTTGCTCCATATGAGTAGAGACCAATAGTTGTATCTTAGACGGCTGCTTGCAAGTGTTTAAGACCCCAGATGCTACTCAACAAACTAGGATGTAGAACATTATCTTTGTGAACTATGTTATGACAATTAATTAAGTTGCCCCCCAAGACTAAGGTCCCAAGCCTTTAAACCCAATAAACCAATCTCACGAGTTGTTCGGATATATCTAGGAAGGCTCTGTAACTGTGAGCCCAATGTGGTTTGTTATATATGTGGATGTATATGCAGCACACACAACCATGTATATACATATGCCTACAGATACACCTGTACATACATGCACGTTAATTTACTCACATATGACTTCTTATACACATATACGCATCCATATCTACCTACATAACCACACACATATTTTCTGGTTGTTTTTACTGTTGTTGCGAAATTGTGTATCTTAAAGCATTTACTGAAATTGTATCTTTTTCTTGTGTACTTATTAGTGCCTGTATTTACCTTGGTCTAGTTGTGCTGACTTCACTCTTATCCGGAATTGCCTTCCGGTCACCAAAACTAACAAGTGTCTACTATCTAGAAAGTGATTTCCCCCTACTTCTCCCTCCCGTCCCTGGTAACCATCAAAGAATGTTGCTTTCTGTGTTCATATCTATTCTTGGCTTTTTATAATAGTGGGAGCATACAATATTTGTCTTTTTTTGATAGACTTATTTCACTGAACATAACGTCTTCCAGATTCATCCATGTTATAGGATGTTTTGCGGACTCCTCATTATTCTCTATAGTTGTGTAGTATTCCATTGTATGTATGGACCACAATTTGTTTATCCATTCATCCATTGATGAGCACTTAGGTTGTTTCCATATTTTTGCTATTGTGAATAATGCTTCAGTGAACGTAGGTGTGCATATGTCTATTCATATCATTGCTCTTATATCTCTAGGATATATACCTACGAGTGAGATTGCTGGATCATAAGGTATTTCTATTTCTAGCTTTTTGAGGAAGTGCCATACTACTTTCCATAGTGGTTGTACCATTTTACAATCCCACCAGAAATATATGAGTTCCAATCCTCTTATAACCTCACCAGCATTTGTTGTTACCTGTTCTTTTGATCATTGCCATTTTTGCAGGGGTGAGATGGTATCTCATTGTAGTTTTGATCTGCATCTAACAGTTAATGATCTCGAGTATCTTTTCATGTATTTGTTGGCTGCCTGAATGTCCTCTTTGGTGAAGTATCTGTTCATGTCCTTTCTCCACTTTTTGATTGGATTGTTTGTGTTTCTGTTGTTGAGCTGTTGATATTTTCTATATATTCTAGAGATTAGACCCTTGTTAGACATGGTCATTGCAAAAAAATTTTTCCCAGTCTTTAGGTTCTCTTTTTATTCTTTTGGTAAAGTCTTTTGATGAGTGCAAGTATTTAATTTTTAGGAGATCCCAATTATCGAATTTATCTTCTATTGTTCGTGCATTTTTAGTTTTGTTTGATACGTTATTTATGCTGAAAATTAGG